TGGCATAACCACCTGTCTGGCAAATATAAGGTTCTAAGTTTAATCCCTGGTTTTGAGTCTCATCTTATTAAAAAGCTACTGCACAACAAAAGAAATAAACAATAACATGAAGAGACAATCAACAAAGTGGGAAAATATTTAGTCTATTTTCACTCATCAAAGTAAAAATATCTAGGAATGTAATGAATTCAAATTAAGCAGACATCCCAAGTTTAAAGATTAAATATGGTAAAAGACATTTGAAATAAACATAATCTTCTCAGATGAAGAAATCCAAATGGTAAATAAATATATAAAACTTGCTGACCACTGCTGATAATTAAAGAGAGGCAAATTAAATCAACAATCAGATTCTATCTCATTCCTAATAGAATGACTATTATCATGAAATTAACCATTAAATCTAGTGGAGCTGGGAGGTAAAAGGAATCCTTTGCTATTTGTTAGAGTGTAGCATGGTGCAACCACTGTGGAAATCAGTTTTGAGATTCATTAAAAAACTAACACTAGAGGTCTTATTTGACTCTGCTATTCCTGATTTGTATCTCCACCCAAAAATTCATTGCATTATCCCTATGCATCCAAGAGGCATACCCATGTTTATAGCAGCCTATTATGCAACAGCTGAAACTTGGAAACAACCCAAATGTTCATCAACTGGTGAATGAATAAGAAACATATGGTTTCTTTGTGCAGTGGACTACAATTCAGCAATAATGAGGGATAAATATCAGACATTTTTATCTAAATGGATAAACTGAGGGACCGCCCAGGGCCCTCCGGGCCCTCACTCCAGGTAGCATGCAGGCCTGACATGTGAGTGGGACTGCCCAGGGCTCACCAGAACCTCACTCCAGCAAGTGCCCAGGGCTGGTGTCCCGGTGTGGAACCCTGCAGCAGAACTCCCTGCAAAGAGGCTAGAGACAAGACCCACCCAGCTGATCCAGGAGAAGAACATCTCACCAGAGTGGCACAGTGGATTCACTTACAAGGGCTGCAGCAGTAAGAAGTGGAGCACAGCAACCAGACCCAAGCCACACAACCCTGGACGAGTTTGAACTTGGTAGATCTGGACCTTGTGCTAAGATAACAGCTGAAGCAAAGCTCTACACCAAAGGTCAGAAGACAGTGTTATAAAAAAATAATGAAGACAAGCAGCAAAATGCGTTCTCAGGCCCCAAGTCCACTCAGAACAAATACAGGAGACAATAGCATGGAAGAAATTGAAAAGCACACACCTGAAATCACTGAAATAATAGTGTCTGAATTAAGGAAACAACTGCAGAAAGGTATAGAGGAAATCAGATCAGAAATAATTTATGAAGTAAAAAAAAAAGTGATAACTATGATGAAAGAAATACTAATTGCTTTTAAATAAGACACTAATAAACATAGAGAATAGAAAAGTGATGGAATCCTTGATCAATATATGAAAGAAATAAAATGCATGAAGCAGATTAAAAGTGATATATAGAAAGTTAAAACTTCAATCACAAGACCTTCGCCAGGGGGATGGTTTAGTGGAATAAGTGGCTTCCCTGGCAAGTGCAAGGGCTTGAGTTCAATCCCTGGTTCCACAAAAAAAAAATAAAAAATAAAAATTCATTTAAAAAAAAAACAAGACCTTGAAGACACTATTGCACCTAGTGAAAAAGTGAGAAAAGGTACCTTAGATCTAACTGATTTGTAAACTCTCCTTCATGTTTATTTTATTTAGTTATTTATTTTATTCATTAATTTTAATGAGAAAAAATTAAAAAATATATATTCAAGCTGTTTACCCAGTTTGAATTTCGTTGTTTTTTATTAATTTAAATGAGAATGAAATAGCAATGAGACAGTTTACAAACAGAATAGTATGTCAGTTATAATAATTAATACATTGCATATTATTATCTTCCTAGTAGTTATTCAGAGGACAAGAATCAGACATGATGTCTCCTCTAAAAATATCAGTACATACATTTTTTTTCTCAATGAACTAAGAGAATGTAGCTGTATGTGTATCATAACTATCTTGACTATACATATGTATGTACATATATATTTTTTTCTCTCTCTCTCACACAAACACACCCACACCCACAAAAAGGTCCTTTACTAATTCCTCCCCTTTCTGTCTTGTTTTGTCAGAGATTGGTGTCCCACTGCTGTAAGAGATGCTGTTTTTGGAGAAATCATTAAAGAACCTTTGCATGAGATGTCTCAGTAGAACAAGTGCTTACCTTGCAAGCATGAGGGCCTGAGTTCAATCCTCAATTCCACCAAAAAAAAAAAACAAAAAAAAAACCAACCAACCAAAAGAAAAAAAATATCCTTTTCATACTTGATGCCAGACCAAAGATTGTAGGTGCATAAATTCAGCAAACTTCTTCATGTTTATTTTAGACAGTTTTTATTGTTATATAAAGTTTGTAAATAACTTTTTGCAATGTGCAACCTATTATTAATCTCATGTTATGCATTCATTTCAGAAATACTTTTCTAAAATTTACTCTGTCTACATCTTATATCTTTTACATTTCAACATTTGTCTACAATTTTAAACTGTATATAGGTATTTTTTATTTAATAAAGTTAATAAAGAGTAAGAAAATAAATGGATGGATCTTTAGATCATATTTTTATGTGGAAAAATGTGACACACATGCTTAAATTTGCATAATCTCTCTGGTGTACTTGAAAGTATGAATAAGAATCAAAATATGCAGTATGTATTTTGAAATAGGAAGAAATTATTCAAAAGGAAAATGTTGCTAGGAAGTTGCAGAGTGCAAGAAAAGAAGGAAATTCAGAGGACAAGATGCCGACATGATAGCTTTGAATAATTACTATGAAGACAACAATATGCAATGTATTAAATATTGTAAAATCCTACTAACCTGTTTTGAAACTGTTCAATCACTATTTTATCTTTTTCCTCATAAAAATGAATCAAAACTAGTGTTATTAGTTGTCTTTTTAAAATTAATTTTATTGAGAAACAAATAGCAATGACGCAGTTTTAAAATGGGTTAGTGGGACAGTTACAATAACACACTGCATATTGTTGTCTTAGTAGTAGTTATACATAGTACAAGATGCAAACATTATTAGTACAAACCCTTTTTTTTGTATTTTAGGGAAGGATCTACAGGGTATTCAGCATCTCACTAGATCAGACTCATAGTGATCCGCATGTTAACAGGCTCCCAAGAGCTGGAATTATAGGTGGGCGCCAACATGTGCAGTCTCAATTGCCCTCTCAGCGCACCCCACGGGTGGAGTAGGCACAGCAGGCTAGGGATCAAAACCATGGTGCCTGCGCCTGCTTGCAGGCACTTTGAGCTATTTGGCCAAATACTTCTCATTGAACTAAGAGACAGTAGCTGTATATCTATCCTAACTATACTGTATATACAGATACAAAATGGACCTTGACATTGAAATATTGTAGGTGTGTGAATTCAGCAAAATAATCCATTATATTCCAGTTGTCCCATGCAGATTGATTTTTATTCATGAACTGTTTGCCTACACTGTGTCTTAAAGAGTTCCTCCTACTTTCTCTTCCAGCACATTTAGTGTTTCTGTTTTAATATTTAGATTTTAATCCATTTGGACTTTAGCTTAGCGCATGGAGATAGGTCTGGGTCAACTTTTAGTATTTGGCATGTAGAGAGACAGTTTTTCCAGCATCATTTGTTAAAGGGGCTATCATTCTTCCAGTAAGCATGTTTTGCCCCTTTGTCAAAGATAAGGTGGCTCAGGGTGTTTGTAGTGGCTTCTGCCTCTTCTATTCTGTTCCACTGATTCTGAGGTCTGTTTTTTTTTTGTTTGCTTTTTTGGGTATTTTTGGCCAATGCCATGTTAATTTTATCACAGTAGCTTTGTAGAATAATTTCAATTCAGGAATTGTAATATCTCCTGTCTTGTCTTTTTCCCCCAGGCTTGCCCTTGCTATTCTAGGTCTTTCCTGGTTCCAAATAAATTTTAGTAACAATTTCTCTAGGTCTGCCTGTAGGGTATGTTGAAGGTGTTTTGAGAGAGATTGCCTTAAATCTCTACAACAATTTTTGGAGTATGGCCATATTCATAATATTGGTTCTTCTTATCCAGGAGCAAGGAATGTCTTTGCATTTTCTGAAATCCTCTACTCTCCCTTTTTATTATAATTGTCATTGAATAGATCTTTTACTTCTTTACTTAGGTTAATTCCTTGGTATTTCCTTTTCCACGGTGCTATTGTAAAAGGTATTGTTCATCTAATTTCCCTCTCAATGTGTTTTTTTTTAAATTTATATTACATATTTATTAAGGCAAGGAACTATATAGAAAAAAAACACATTTGTCCTGTTTAAGGCATACTTGGGAATAATCCATTGTACAAATTATTGCACATCTGAAACCACAGTGCATAACAGACTGTCTGCATAAACACGTTACAGAAGTAAACCAGGTATATTTACCCGACTTAGGTCATAAATGTAGATCGGAAGGCAAAAATAGATTTTCCTTGTCAAAGTATGCAGCAGTTTGAGAAGAACTTTGGCTTCCTCATTTGGTACCTTTAGAACCAAGACTCATCAAGCACCGTCACGTAGGTGATTAAAACACGTTTTCTGTACCTGAATTTCTTCCTCTTCTAACATAACTAATGGCTTTTAGAAGGCAAAGAGAATACAAGGTGATCTTTATACTTATTTTGCATTGAAACAATTCAAGAAAATCTTGGTCCTCCCGCCCTCCCCACACTCAGATCTGATTTATACCCTGATATCCCCAACTTCCAGTCTCTCCCATGGCATTTTGTAAGTCCAGGCATGTTCAAGTCAGATCTGGAATTGGAATGATAGAAGATCCAGTCACAGGCCCCATCTGTTCTTTGACTTTTGTCCTTTGAGTTTCTCCTTTCTCCTGATTATCCACTTACGGGCTGACTTATTGGGAACCTGACCATGATTGTAGTGCTTGCCAGCTTCGTGCCTCCCCTTGTGGGGAGACAGTGTAAAAGGGTTTTGGGGAAAAAAATACTGAATTCTCTCGTGGCAGTGCGGGTGGCATCACTCTGGGGTTTAAAAGTGCCTCTTCATGTGTAAGGCGAGGTGGTCCGACCTGGAAAAGGCCCGGTCGCACTTCTGGCACTGGAAGGGGCGGTGCCCCGTGTGCTTGCGGTAGTGCCTGGTCAGTTCATCAGAGCGGGCAAACTTCCACCCACAGCCGTCCCAGTCACAGTGGTACGGTTTCTCACCTGTGTGGGTTCGCAGGTGTGCCTTGAGATGAGAGCTCTTTGTATAGGTTTTGCCGCAGCCGGCATAATCGCAAGTGTGGGTGGCCATCCTTTTCCGGGGCCACGACCTTCTTCCCCTCTTTGGCTTGGGCTCTTCTGGCAGGCAGGAACCAGGTGGCATGAGTTCTTGGTAGTGAATCGGTGGGACCTGCGGCTGCATTTGGTCGGGCAGAAAGGGTGGGTAGTTGGGTCCTGGATGGGGATGGAAGCCAGGGGGAAGCGGCAAGGCAGGGTGACAGTCCCTGGTGCTCAGCAGTTCCTCGGGACCCAGGGTCGGGTTAGTCCTGCTCGGGAGCTGCCGCCCCAGGGAGAAGTTGTGTGCGCTGGGCCGGTGCCCGTTGCTCTCAATGTGTTTTTTATCTATGTAGAGGAATGCTACTGAATTTTGGATACTGAATTTGTATCCTGCGAAGATACTGATTTTTTTTTTTATCAATTCTAATAGATTCTTGGTGGATTTTTTTTTTTTTTTTGGTGGAACCAGGGATTGAACTCAGGACCCTGCACTTGCCAGACAAACGCTTATTCTACTGAGCTATCTCCCCGGCCCCAAATAGGGTCATTCTAACTTTTTTTTGTTTTGTATTTTTGGTGAAACCAGGGATTGAACTCAAGCCCTTGTCCTTGCCAGGGAAACACTTATTCCACTGAGCCATCTCCTTGGCCTCTTGGTGGATTTTTTTCCATCTTCCTAATAAAGTATCATATCATCTGCAAATAATGATACTCCAAATTCTTCTTTACCTATTCGTATTCCTCTTTGTCTCTCTTGTCTAATGGTTCTAGTTAATATTTCTAGAACTATATTGAATAGCAGAGGTGATAGAGGATATTCTTTTCTTGAACCAGGTCTGAGAGTAAAAGATTTTAGTTTTTCCCCATTTAGAATTATGTTAGCTATTGGGTTGTCATAGATGGCTTTTATCAGATTGTAGTAGAGGCCATCTATTGCTATTTTCTGTAGGACTTTGTATATGGATGACAGTTGCACTTTGTGAAAAGCCTTTTCTTCATCAATTGAGATGATGAAGTGATTTTTGTGTTTAGCTATATTGATTTAGTGTATTACATTTTTCGATTTACATATATTGAAACATCCTCATAATCCTGGGATGAAACCTACCTGGTCATGGTGTATAATCTCCTTGATGATGTTCTGTATTCTATTTGCTAGGATTTAATTGAGGATTTCTGCATCTGTGCTCATGAGGGAGCTTGGCCTGTAGTTCTCTTTTCTAGTCATGTCTTTCCCAGGTCTTGGTATCAGTATAAAACTTGCCTCCAAGAATAATTTTTGGAGGATTGCTTCATTTTCACTTTCACTGAAGATTTTGAGAAGTATAGAGATTATATCTTGTGTAAATTTCTTTCAGAATTCAGCTGTGAATCCAGCAAGACCTGGAATGCTTTAAAAAAATAATTTTATTGAGAAAAAAAGAGCAATGAGACAATTTCAAACTGATTAGTAGGACAGTTTCAATACTTAATATATTGCATATTGTTGTCTCAGTGGTTATTCATAATACAAGATGGAGACATGATATCCTCATTACAAATACTAGTAGAACAAATCTTTCTATTCATTGAATTAAGAGAATGTAACTGTATACCTAACATCAGTATTTTGAATATACAGATACAAAATGGTTGTTCATTTGTATCTGATTTTTGTTTAGTTTTTTCAGAGAAGGGTATTCCATTGTCATTTACATATTATACAACCGTGAGCTCAGCAAAATTTTCCAATATAGTCTAGTAGTCAAGTATAGTAGTGGGTTTTCTGTAAGATTGACAATTTCAGAAGCTATTGACTTGAGCCTTTTAGAGTTCAGCATATTAATATGGCTTTACCTTTTATATAGTTTTTATACTTTTCTGCTGGATGGTGAAGACAAAGATAAAACAAGACCTATAAAACAAGAAATGTAGCTTTTGTATCCAATAAGGTCAGAGAAATCGCAGTTATTAGATCCTTGTCAGTGTCAGTCATGTAGATGAATCATGGCCATTGCTTGACCAATTTGCGCTCTGAGAAAGCCTGAAAAATGATTTCTCTCCATGTGACTCTCCTTAGGCACACACTTCATCACTGATCACTCTCCTTTGTGGTCCCATAATCTCCTTGACCAGAATATATGGGACACAACTGAGTTACATGATGTTACAGAACAGGTTCTCCTACGTCCTGAGTCTTCACTGATCATGAAAGGCTAGGGCCAAAATGTTGGCTGTCCTTGCAGCCCTTTTTTTCTGTAATATTTGGTCTGAAAACTTAGGTTGTGAATCATCCAGAAGAGAAGCTTATCATCATTACTCTTCAACATTGGCAGTTGAGCTATTACATGGCGTATTGCATTGGCTGTTATTGGGTTATTAAGAGTTGTTATGTCTTCTTAATTCAGTTTTAGTAATTTGTACCTTTCCAGGAATCTGCATTTCTTCTGTGTCTTCTATACAATGAGAGTAAAGATTCTCAAGGTAGATATTGATGATATTCTTAGTTTCCACTGGGTCTGTGTTAATTACACCCTTTTCATTTCTTATTGCTTGTATTTGAATTTTTTTTCCTGTTTTTGATGAGGTTAGCTAAGGGATTATCAATTTTATTTAATCTTTCAAAGAACCAGCTTTTTGATTCCTTAATTCTTTGAACTACTTTCTTCATCTTGATTGAATTAAATTCTGGGCCAATATTTATGATTTTTTTCAGGTGTTTGGGTTTGCGTGTGGTCTGCTTTTCCTTTTCTACTTCTTACAGGTGCAGAATTAGGGTGTTTATTTTTTTCCGTTCTGTTTTCCTATTGTGTGTGTTTACATCTATATATTTCCCTCTAAGAACTGCTTTCATTGCATCCCATCAGTGCAGAAAGGTTTTGCTTAAATTTTCATTGAATTGTAGATATTGTTCAATTTCTTGTTTAATTTCGTCTGTGACCTGTTTGTTGTTGAGTAGGGTGTTGTTCAATTTCCATGTATTTTTTTTTCTGGCTTTCTTTTGTCATTTATTTCCAGTTTCCTTCAGTGTGGTTAGATAATAAGAATAGGATTATTTCTCTTTTCTTGCATATACTTAAATATGGCCTATGGACAAGTATGTTGTCTATTTTAGAAAGTGACTCATGTGCAGCTGAAAAAATGTGTATTCAAATGTATTTGGGTGGAAGACTCTGTATATGTCCACTAAGTCCATTTGCTCCAAGCTCTGGTTCAGTTCTGTTTCTTCTTTGCTAATTTTTTGTCTGCTTGACATATTTTTTGAGATAAGTGTGTGTTGAGGTGTCCTGTCAAGATTGTGGTATTGGATATTAGATTTTACATGTCCATTAAGATTTGGCTTATATAGTTGGGTGCTTCCATGTTGGTGCACATACGTTTATGTGTTAACTATTCCTCTTCAATTTTTCCCCTAACCAGTATATAGCGGCCTGCTTTATTTCATTTGATCATTCTTGGTTTGAAGTTGATACTGTCTAAGAACAGGATTGCTACCTCTGCTTTTTTCTGAGGTGCTGGGCAATGAAGTATTGTTTTTTGTCCTTTGAATTTCAGCCTATGAATTTGTTTATGAGTTAAGTGTGTTTCTTTTTTCTTTTTTTCTTTTTTTTTTTTTTGGAACCAGGGATTGAACTCAGGCCCTTGCACTTGCCAGGGAAGTGCTTATTCCACTGAACCATCTCCCCGGCCCCAAGTGTGTTCCTTGTACACAACATATTTTTGGATTTTGCTTCCTAATCCACTGTGTCAGTCTATTTCTTCTAATTTGTGAATTGGGTCCCTTTACAGTGATGGTTATAATTGAGATGTATTGTCTTTTGATTGACATGTTATTTACCTGCTGTTGTTGTCTTTTTATCCTGTGTTTAATTGTTCTATTTTGTTGGTTCATTCTGTTCTCTTTTGTGGAGTTTTGATCGTTTTGGTCCCTCTCTAGAACTTTTAGTAGTCTTTATATGGTTGGTTTGTTCTCATGATACTCTTTAGTTCTTCTTTGTCTTGGAATTATTCCACTTCTCCATCAAACTTGAAAGATAATTTTCCTGATTATAGTTGTCTGGGCTGGAATTTGTTTTCATAGAAGACTGATAGTACTCTGCTCCATGCTCTTCTTGACTTCATGGTTTGTGAAGAGAAGTCTGCTGTTATTTTTGGATTTTCCTTTAATTATATGCTTCTTTTCTCTAGCATCTTTCATTATAATGATCTTATGCTCCATTTCTGTGTTCTTGGCTATCATGTGTCTCAGTTTTTATTTAATTGAGTTGATTTTATTTGGAGTTCTGTGTGCTTCTGTTGCCTGAATGTCAGATTGTTTCTCCATATTTGGAATGTTTTCTGCTATTACTTGTGCCCATATCTATTTTATATCATTTGTATTGAGTCCTTCTTTCTCATTAATTCCTATTAGTCTCACGTTATTCGTCTGTGCATTGTCTTGCAGGTGATGAATTATTTTTTCCTGCATCCTAGTTGTTTTTAAGAGATTTTTTTCTTCCCTTTTCACCAGCTGCAATGGCAACTTGAAGATCTGAAACTGTATCTTCTCTTTCACTCAAATGGATTTTTAATTTTGTGATTGAGATTTTAATTCATCTATATCTGTTTGACTCTGATTCATGCAATCTATTTCTTTCATATATTGCTCATTCAAGGATTCCATTCTTTAATCTCCTCTATTTTTTATGTGTCTTTTTTAGAAGCAGTTATTTATTCTTTCATTATAGTTATCCTTTCTTTTTTACTTCAGAGACTTTCTGATCTGATTTCTTCTATACCTTTCTGCAGTTCTTTCTTTACTTCTAACACTATTAATTCAGACATTTCAGCTGTATAATTCTCAATTTATTCTGTGTTGCTATTTTCTGCACTTGTCCTGGTTGTGCTTGTGCCATGAGATTGCCTTTTGCTCCTTCTCTTTGTCATTTTTGTATAGCACTGTCCTCTGACCATTTCTGTAGGGCTTTGGTGCAGTTATAACCTTAGCACTTACTCAAATTCTTACCCAAGAGAGATTATATGATTAATGCTGTTATCATTTTGTGTTTCTGTAAATACCATTATTATTATTTTTTAACTTTTTATAATTTTTATTCCAGATGCCACCAAAGCCCAGGAATAATAATAATTTGTAATGATATTTACCATTTTAGCAAATTTATAACTAATGTCTTTGTATTTTAAACAGTAAGGGCAATCATTATGTCTGTATAGCTAAGCAGATATTAAATTGGGAATTTATATTTAAGTTAGTTCTGCTATGTTCTGTATGATTGCCCCTCCTTGATGTTCCTGTTTTTTTTTTTCCAGGCAGTCTGGTTCACCCAGGTTACCTTGTGCCCCTTCTCTCAGTCAAGAGAGAAAGA